GACAGAGCATCATTATTTTTTGCTATCAATGTCCCTGTGGTTGTCTCGATCTTTCCTTCATTCTATTTTCTTCTACTGCCCCCACCAGAAAATTCAAATTACCTTTTGAAAGTATTCTCCTTCATTTTGTTACTGTTATTTGTCAGATGAATTCTGGCTTCTGTTTAAACACAACATCCCATTATAATTATAGTAATTACATCAACTCTACAATGTATTTCGCCAGTTTTTGCTGCTGCTTGTTCTTTGTATCCCACCCCATTCTCCTTTGTGCATTTTTCCTTTCATGAAAGTCTGGATTTTAAGTTGTCTTAGCTTTGTCCATATGAAGCTTTTTTCTGTTTTGCCAGCAGTCTTCAATAACAAATTTTTGGTTTGACAATTCTCCCTCAGCACCTGGAAGATCTTTCACTAAGGTCACCAACATCTATTGGTATCAGCTTGATTTTCCTCTTTGGTGCTCTGCTGATGCTCTCTGGTAGTTTATTAGATTTTATCTATAGCCTCAATTTATGTTCTGCAATTTCCAAATGATGTGTCCAATGAGAATTTACTTATATTTAACCTGCTTAGTACTTAGATGGCATTTTATGGATCCATCGGTGATCCATTTCTTTCTTCGTTTCTGTAACATTTTCAATTATTGGCCTTCAACTATCACTTCTTTAGCAATTCTTCCATTCTCTTCTTCTGACATTCTTATTAGATGCATTTGTAGTTTCTTATTCTTCCCTCCAAGTCTGTTAACTGTTCTTTCAGATTTTTTGCTTCTTTTCTCCCTGTACTGCATTCTGGGTAATTTCTCCAATACTATTTGTAGTTTTTAATAGAATCTTTGATTGTGCCCATCTATTTATTTAGTTTACACCATCTATTGCATTTTTTAATTTCTTCATGCCCATTACATGTTTAGTAATTTTACATAAAAGTTATTACTCTATGGGGGCTGGCCCCGTGGCCGAGTGGTTAAGTTCGAGGGCTCCGCTGCAGGCGGCCCAGTGTTTCATTGGTTCGAATCCTGGGCGCGGACATGGCACTGCTCATCAGACCACGCTGAGGCAGCATCCCACATGCCACAACTAGAAGGACCCACAACGAAGAATACACAACTATGTACCGGGGGGCTTTGGGGAGAAAAAGGAAAAAATAAAAAAATCTTTAAAAAAAAAAAAGTTATTACTCTATGACTTTGATCAGCCTTACCACACTTATTTTCAAATTTTATTTGATTGTATTACAAAATCAATCTCATCTAGAATGAATCCATGTTCTAACTGCTGCTTTGATTAGCATTACAGTTCTTCATGTGTTTTGAAATTTTTTGAGGCTCTTTTTGAAAAAGAAGTTATTATTTTAATTTTTATCTCTTCCTCTCTCTCATCTTCTCTGTTCAATAGGTTTGTGGGTGACCTAACTATCTCCCAGAGGTTCAATGCCACAATGTTGGTCCAGAACTATCAGTCCACAGTGATGCTCAGGATATCATAGGTCCTATTCCAGGATGACAGGTGGGCAGTTTGGTTCCGTGTCCAGTTGCTGGGCTGTTCTCTGTCTCACTCAGACCCCTAAAGCAAAGTTTCCTATAAGTCACAGTCCCCAAAACAACCAGCAGCCATTACTAAAAGCTTCCTTTCCTGAGTGGGAAGTAACACGCAGCCTATCTTCAAGTACTGAGCCGACTCTGACTCCACGATCAAAGCAGAGAAATACGGAGTCCCTATTACTCTGCCAGTGCCTGCTTGTACAGCTAGCAAGCCTCTTGCTTCAGCCCCCCTTACCACTTTGCAAATCTATTATATTTCCAGCCATCAGCTCATCTCTGATGCTCTACTTTTTCTCTTTTGTAGTCTCTCTCATTGCTATGTAATTCGAAAAGAAAGCTGCATCAAAGTATGAGAAACTGCGATATCGTGAATGGAAATCTCAGCATTGAATTTTTTCTAACTTGATTAATATTGAACTAGAAGATCATGAGAAAATAAACCACTATAATGTGATTAAAAAAGAGTAGTAAATTAAAAAGCAGATCATAATTATAGTTAAGACTTAGTCTATGTTAAGAACTGTTCCAAGTGCTTTGCATGGATTACATATCTTTCATTTTCATTACATTCTTGTACTGTTATTATTCTTATAGCTCACAAAAAAAAAAAAAAAAAAAAAAGAACAGACAGCCTATGCAACTTTCCCGAGGTCATACAGCCAGTAAATGGTAGATTTGAACACAGTGAGTCTAACTCACGAGTCAGCATCTTAACTACCATACTGTACTCTAGTCCCAGCTCTGCCCCGGAGTAGCTCTGTAATTCTGAGGACGTTATTTCACCTCTCTGTGACAAAGTGTTCTCGACTGTGAAATGAGGTGATTACACCAGATGATTTCTAATCTATTTTTCCAAACTCCAGTTGTCCAGGATAAGATGGATTTATAGTTCTGGTTAGTTCCCTATTTCAGAGTGCCCTCTTAAATTTGTTTTGGGAGCTGAAATTTTTGGCAAATCTCCAAATTTATTTTAAAACAATCTTTAATGAGATATATATCAGATTTTAAAAAGAAAACTTCAACACTCTAAATGTTCTATAAGAAAAGAAAAGAGAAGCAAACTCTACAAATAAATCATGAGCCTGCAATGATAATATCAAGTGAAGGTCGGTTCAGTAAGTAAGTGTGAAATGTCTTGAACGTAAATATGAAATTAAAGATATAGTTTATGAGAAGACTTAAGTTCTGGTCTTATTCTGTCTCTAACACAAACTAACTTACTTGGACTTCAGTTTCCTTGTTTTTAAAATGAGATAGTTGGATTTTTGAGGTCCATTCTGTTTCTAACATTCTCTATTCAACAAGTGAGAATCTATTAAGGTACCTCAGTGATGGTATTATTTGAATAGACTAAAAATATATGAAAAGTGGGGCAAGCCCAGTGACATAGTAGTTAAGTTCATGGGCTCCGCTTCAGCGGCCCAGGGTTCATGGATTCAGATCCCAGGCACAGACCTACACACCACTCATCAAGCCATGCTGTGGTGGCGTCCCACATGCAAAATAGAGGAGGATTGGTGCAGATGTTAGCTCAAGGACAATCTTCCTCAAGCAAAAAGAGGAAGATTGGCAACAGATGTTAGCTCAGGGCCAATCTTCCTCACCAAAAATTATAAATAAATAAAATTTAAAAAATACATGAAAAGCAAAAGCTGCTTTTATCCCATGAATGACAAAAATCCCTGGATCAAGTTAGTTTCCTAATTTACTGAACATAGGAAGACTATGTCTGTGGTATTTAGTTAAGAGCGTGAGCCCATCAGATTGCAGGAGTTAGTTTCTTTCTACAGAGTTACTGAAACTTTCTGGTCCTAATGTTACTCTTTTGTACAATGAGGATAGTCCCAATTCCTGCTTATTTTGATGACTAAATGAGACAACAAACTCAAACTGCTTAAGCCTGGCCCATAGTAGGTGATCAACGTGTGTGCATTTATTAATAGTAGTGATTAGAATAATTGAGGGTATTTGTAGAGTCTTCATTCTTCAATATCTGTCAAAACCATATGTGCACATCATCATGAATAACTTAGGTGCCTAAAGACAGAGGGGCATGATCAAGAGGAACTTACAGCAATCTCTCTTACACTAAAATCTCCGTATCTATATGTATTAGTTTGAAAAGAGTGATGATTTAATAGGCATTCAGTATTGTTTGATGCTTTATACATCAGGCATATTAGAAACGGTCCCTGCCTTCACAGTAAGGATAATATCTAAATCCCATGTACAAATGGGCAAAGACGATGCAGCGAATGAGAGACATTAGCTAGCTGGTCACACACAACTTCATGCCTTGTGATCAGAATGCATTTGTCAGTAAAGAGACTGCAAGGAACTGCATCACTGTTCCCTCAAGACTCCCTGGAATTGGCTTAGGACATGGAGACGCTAAACAGCCTAAGATGTTGACCAAAACCTATTTTTCTATTCCTCTGGCTGACATGGAAGAAATGAAACTGAAATACGGTAAATGAAGGAACAAACAGAGGGTGAATAGAAAAATATTATAATGGAAGATTCACTATATGAACACCCTTTTATTTTAATGAGTGTATTCTTTAGAGAATAGGTAAAATTTTATATAAATTCAGATATTTTTTCATAAAATATAGAAATAAAAGAAAAAGAAGCAAATAAACAAAACCACTGACCCTGCCCACACTTAAAGCTTCCTGCTTACATTTGCACTTAGTGGACGGTATCTATTTCAACTCCTCCTTTGGGCCATACCAACATAAAATTCATAACATCTGCCATTTAACTTAAAAAAATTCAAACGGACTTAATTCAAACCCATTTTTTTGACTCAAAAAAACCATAAAATCTTTCCCTTAGTTTATGATAGCAGTGACCTGTTTCAAAGAGGTTCAGTAAGAATTGATGCTGGAAACTGCCTTGAAGACACAAATTGCTGTAATTAGCTTTGAATATACATATCATTAAACTAAAACGAATGTCAGTAAACCAGCACAAAAATATCTACTCTATTCAAAGCACATTATTACAAAACAACAGATAAATAATTTCCTTCACCCTTTCTACAAAAGTAATTTGGACTTTAATTTTCACATTTATCTGTATACATGAAATCAAATAATATTCTCACTCTATTTAAGCCATTGTTCTGTTTTCAAAAGACAGTTAGACGCTTTTACATATATACTTGAATAAATGCATTTTACTTTAAGGAAAATATAAGCAAGGTAGTTTAAAAGAGAGAAATATTTGGTAAGATTTGAACTGAAATAAACATGATATGGTATTAAAAATATGTACAGTATAGTTAAAATTCTAACTATTTCAAGGTATGTTTACAACAGTCATTCTTAATAACATTCAGAATTTTTTGGCTCTTTTTATAGAGGTATCGCAGAGCCACAAAACAATATAATGCTCATTTATTCATTCTGATTGCAGTTTTTAATGTAATTTGCCCTGTGCATCTCGAGTTCACCTTGTCAGAGAGTACTGCTTCCCCAAGGCTGCCCCAGGGTCCTGTTGACGGATTGCTCTAATTGCGGTTGGCGCTGTAAACAAGGCAGCTACTCCATGCTCCGCGAGCACACGGAAATAAGCGCCAGCATCTGGTGTTCCCACAGGCTTCCCCTACAATGAGATTCATTTAAAATGTCACTGGGTAAAATGTCTCATATTTCATTGACAGTTCAAGACTTACGCATTTAACATAGCAATATTAATAAAATGGCGTCGTCAACATATCTTAGTTTTAAAATATTCCCATGTTCTATCATAAATAAAACAAATGCCTAGGCATCAGACAGGCCGTCTACCTCATTACGGCATACTAGAAGCTTTTCAAATTGCCATTTTCCTCTCTCAAGTTTTGAAAGATAAAGGACAGGAAATATATATCACATTCAAATGAATAACATCCAACAGTCTTCTGTTTGCCAAGAAAGTAAATACGTGGCTTTGTGTGGTAGACTAAACGAGAAATATGGTTGCTATGAATTTCTAACTTTAAATATCTTTTTTTCATGATCACTTTTAGAAGTAACAATAATAATTCTCAAAATATTTGAGAAGAGAGAAAAATCTGGAGTCACAGTGATTTCTGACCAATGATCTTTTCAACTAAATGTCTCATTCCAAGAAAAGCAACTTCAATGAATTAAAAAAAGATCCAATAAGATATCCCAAAGTTTTCCACAGCCTCAAAATGACATTCTACATGTTTAATGGAAAAATCATGCATAAAGTCTAAGAATTTGACAGACTCTATCATGCAAAAGGACACAAAGCATTTTCTGATGTTTCCGCAAAGTGGAAAATGAGCACGACATTTAAATAAATCAGTAATTCTGCAAAAACCTGAAGTGACCCATGAAATCTATCTTGGCTCATCTACATCCTCTCACTCCTCCTCACTGCTACTTCTTCCTGTGTTTCTAAGCAGCGTGCCTGGAATGTTAATATATGTTATGTGAAAATACATAGATATATACATTTCACAGTCAAATCCTTTTGGAAGGGATTGGAATAAACAAAGGAAAACAGGTTTCTTATTCTGGACCATTGAGGACTTACAAGTGTTAAAGCACATCAGGAATTTCTCAGAGATGGGTAACTATATGCAACATTTCCCAAACTTCTCTGTTCGAATCTCCCATCTGACCAACCCATGGATCTTATATTCTGGACAACAATGAACTAAGGTATAAAGAAGAAAGAACTTGCTAGTAGCAAACTTAGAGATCTCCCCAGAGAAAAACAAATAAGTGGATAAGGATATGAGGTAGATCATAACTGTCCAATAATTTAGATTCATGATCCACTTCTAGTTGGATCTTTGATAGGGTACTATTTAGTTTTTACTTTTATTTTTTAATGGTTGCCCCTAATATTCTTCAATATAATTATATTTCCTTTTTTTGAAAAAAAAAACCTGTTTCTTATATTCTATTGCTTCTTCTCTTGCTTTTTTAATACCAAAGAATTTGTTGCAACTAGAAACTCATTTTTATTATCAAAACTACCCCAAAACACTTGATTTCAATTTATTTCATTACCACTTATACACAGGTCAACACACTGACACAGTATAAAAAGCCAGATACAATCTGGCAACTCACGTACGTTATTTGACTCACGAGGTTTGAAGCCTTGAGCACGTTAGTCTAAAATGAATCAGCAACTTTATTATTTCTAACTAAGTGAGGTGAACACTTAGCTTTTACCTCATCAATCTGTCTTAGGCACTGATCAGTCCCTGGTCTACTAGATTGTGACTTGGGAAACTTGATCCCACGCATGTAAAAATGATTTATTAACTGACCTTATGCAATTAATGTGCCCTGTCTAAGCTGCCATCTTCTTGCCTGCTAAATAAGAATAAACCACTTTTCCGATATTTCCTCAGTAAGCTAAAAGCACTAAGATAATATTTTGAAGTAGTTTGACCTCCACTGAAGAAAGCTATTTTATAATCAATTGGAGTTAAATTCCACTACAATGCCAGTGTCATGGGACAATGGTAATATACTCATTGAAGGGTGATATTAGTGCCATAATGAAAATGCTATACCATAATGACTACCTATGTAGAGGGCATAATTTGATGTATTCTACAGTGTCTTCAATTAATTACGTCTAACAATAACAGTAATGACAATTTAAGCGTTAGAAATATCAGTTGAGAACTGTACTATAATTTTTACAAATAATATATTATAACAACATAATATTATATAATTGTATATATAATATTATTTTATATAATATACTATTATATAATTATGTTTATATGTTGTAAAATTTATATATGATATAAATATAAATATATAAAATAAATATAATAAATATAATACAAAAATAATAATATATAATATATAATACAAACATATAATGTAAATATAAATATATAATAGAAAATTATAATATAATTATATAACATATTTTTATTAATAATATATAATCACAAAATATTATGATTATAAACCATTGCAATTCTGACCCTACACCAAACAAATTTCCATCAATGTTATATTTCATGAGCAAACAAGTCACGATAACATAGCATTACTCTTAGAACACGTAAGGAGTGACGCATAAAACCCTCACAATGTTCCCATGTGAGTTAGGTGAACTCAGATAGGTTCAGTTGTTTTGCATTTTATTGTCCGTTCCCACAAGATCATTTGATGCTATGAATGCCACGTTTCACTATTTTAGAATTACTTTAGCATTTATATATTTTACTTTTTTACTTTCTTAAGAACTCATACCTGATCTCAAATCTTAAACATAAGTTATGATATATCAAAGAAATTATTGTCCCCCAAAGTAGCCTGCTGATTAACACAAACATTAGGTTCTGGATGATGTAAACACTTCAAATAATATAACACAGCACAGAACAAGATCTTTCCTCCGAAACCATTGTTCACATACAAACAAGTCATAAGAAATTAGGCACTGCTAATATATTCATTCATTTAATAAATATTTATTGGGCATCTACTAGGGGCTAGATACTGTTCTAAATTCTGGGAATAATTTTTCGAACAAGCCAGGTAAGGTCTTGCTCTAATGGAACCTATATTCTAGTAATTATGGGGGGGTGTGTGTAACAATATTATTATAAATTACATAGCAGATGCTGCAAACTATTTGTGCCTAATAAAGGGAAGGAATACAGTAATAAATATAGGACCCATATGTTCTCAGCACCTAACACCACTAGTAGCTTCAGAAAACTGAAGCAAAACCTCTAAACCAAAGCATTATGAACTTTAAATGAAAGTGACACAATGGCTTATTGATTTCATTGAACACTCGTCTCTCCTGCACTCCTGCATACACACGGGCTCACGGGCACACACAGACACACATGCACATATGGGCAAGGTATCCTTTTGCAATGCTTTTTAAAAGTAATCAGTAACACGCTTAATATGCTGAGCTGCCTGGAAAAAATGACACTGATTCAAGAATTTGCATATTCAGTAAGGAGCAATAGCCCAAACACTATTCAATTTAAAAATAAGAAGATTCTAAGATTGCAGGGATTTTTAACAACATACACATAGTAATGCAGCTAAAAGGTAGCAATAACAAAAATTCCTCAAAACTCAAATTGATGTTATTACCATTTGCTTTTATTCCCTCTCCCCAAACTAAAGGCTGCAGTGTTGGTTGCTGCCCAGGAAACAAAGGCAGAAAGCAATGGAGAGACAGAGGTTACAAGCTTTTGGCTGTTATAAATATGCATTTTTAACATCAGAGATTTATAAAATATCAACTGCAAATATTTATAATGTGGTTAGCAATGGTACAAAACACAGAAAACAAGACAGTTACCAAATATCTTAAAATTAACTTGCACTTACAATTGCTTACACGTGAATTGACAATTGTAACATAAGACTGACTGCTTCCAAGGGAGAGACATTGGACAGTTGGAAACAGCAAACAGTGAGATTTATACCTTTTGTTTGTCTTTTTGTTTTTTTGCTGAGGAAGATTAGCCCTAAGTTAACATCTGTGCCAATCTTCCTCCACTTGATATGTGAGTTGCCACCACAGCATGGCTGATAAGTGGTGTAGGTCTGCGCCTGGGATCTGAACCTGTGAATGCAGGCTGTCGAAGCAGAGCATGCTGAACTTAACCACTATGCCACAGGGCCAGCTCCCAGATTTACACTTTTTCTTGTGAGTTTTGAAATATGAACCAAATGAGTTCATAGACTCTTTTAAAAATGGGCTTTTTCTTCCCTAAAGTCCCTCTCTCAATAAATCACATTATCTTGTCCCAATTTCAAAAAGATTGCTGCTTTAAAGCTAGATGGGATAATTATCCTATGCCTTAGGACTCTCAGACCTAGGACTTTGTGTTAGTATAGCAGATTCCCTTTTAAGGAGTGAAAGCATATAAATACAATCTGATGACTAAGAATTTATATCAGACCGACTTCCTTGTTATTTGCTAAAGATCTCCCATCATTCTATTGTCCTCATCTGTGAAGATATGCTGCCATCTTGCCTTCCTTCATCTTATCCATACCAGCATCTAACCCAGCGACTGTCAACCCTAAATGTACATTAGAACTTCTTGGGATGTTTTTGAAAGGTACCAGCGTCTGGTTCCTCACTCCCAGAGATTCTGATCTAATTGGCCTTGGGTTGGGTGTGGGCATTGTTAGGTTTTATGTGTCTCCTAGGTGATTCTAATCCACAGCCAGGGTTGAGAATCAATGCATAGTCCTTACACACAAGGCACTACCTGAGGCGAGCCTATTTTCCAATACCCACCTGCCTCTTGTCCTAGTGGATGAGCCTACAATTTATCACTAGCTTTGACTAGTTTTCTCTATCTGTTACAAATAAATGAGGCAAGTATTAATAAAAGAATATATTGATAACTGAAATCTGATTATAAGTGGCCATACTCTGAGAAAATAATTGGGGAGAAGTGCCTCATTGTTCCAAATTCTTTATACCTTAGCCTACAAAGCAGACTTTGGACTGGACATATACATCATGATTTGTAGGACTGAGCACCTGAGCAGAAGTGCCCTTTCTCCAAAGATGGAAGCATTAGCCCCAGCTCTGCAGCTGTTTCCGCGTTGCCCAGAGACCTATGAAAA